ACCATTCTATCTAACCATATCATTATCATTTAATTATGATAAAATGTATACGTAAAACTTGCATTATAAGGTAGGTTACGCTTTATTTTACCTTTATTTCTCATACCTAATGCTTCTTCCATTTGAGGTGGGATCTGCTCCTCACACATGGTGCCTCACAACGACCTCACAGGTACATCCCACCATGCATTGGGAACATCTCCCGTAAATAATAACACATGAATACGGGAGATGTTCCTAATGCACAGTGGGATGTACCTGTGAGGCGCCATGTATGAGGAGCAGATCCAGTCTCCTTCCATTTCAGATCACTAGCAATCAATTCAAATGGCAAGCATAGGGATAATTTCAAGTGCAGTGCTTCTATTTTTTTGATTTCTCAAAATTGTGTGCTTCGAGTGATCGTATTCTTCTTTTTCTTATTGAGTTTTTGTTCTCAAATTTGTTTTTCTTTTTCCTTCATTTTATCTTCTTTTACAAAGATTTTCCTTTAAACTTTGTAGAAAATCAAAGGGATAGAGAAGCTTGATCTCTTTGAAGAAGCCAAACAAAAGAAGACTGCCCTTTTGCCTAGCAGAGAAGTTCCATATTTTGAGGAAAAAAAAAAGAAAGAGTGAAACAATTCCATCAACCAGTTCCATCAAAACTAACTGATTTTCTTAGTTTCTCACATAGGTGAGGGGTGTTCTTTTCTTGGATTTTGAGAGGGGGAAAGTTGGTCGATGGAATTTTGATTCCCATTCACCAAGAAAACCATGTTCTTTTTTCAGATTTATGTGAGGATGAGAGAAAATTTATTTCCAAATAAGTGATACTCATCTCCTAGGTTGGTAAATAACTTTTCCACCTAGGAGAAAATTGCCAGCACTTGAATGGGACAAAAATGTCCCTTTTAATAATGAATTTTTATGGCTAAGATGGTCATTTCCTTATTTATGTGAAAAATAAAAGAACATGAAAAATACACTTACCTGGGTAAATCTTTCCTAAGAAACATTTACCCGAATAAATAACTTACCAAAAAGCGAACAAGGCCTTAGTTTCTGGCCTTCATGTTGAGTCTTCAATTGCCCTTTAAAAGAACCTCCTCAAGCTCTCTAGTGATAAGGGACTGAGGTTAACTTTTATTTTCTCTTTAGTATCTTATATATCTATTCTATTTTTAGAAGTTTGTCTGTTTCATGCTTCCCAAAATCCACCATAATGTCATATGTATTAGCAACTTTCACAGGATATGGTCCTGGGAAACAAGCCTCTGAAGAGAAAACTGAGAGTAATCCTCCCAGAGCTTATTCAAGACATTCCAATAAGCTGTAAAGATAAAGGCATACAGGATCATCTTGCTTCAATTCCCTAAGACTATGTTTGGTTTGAAGGAAAAGGTAGGGAAAGGTAGGGAAACCTATACAAGTTTTATAAAGGTTTCCTTACCTTTCCCTACTTTTTCCTTCAAACCAAACACACTTAAAGGACTTGATATTATCTATCAAAAAAAAAAAGCATATCATCTTAAAGAATTGATTCTAGTTGAAATTGTGATAATGTTTCCCATAACTCCGAAATTTGTTCTTGACTTAATTGATTTAAGGTCTGCCTTGCATGTATTGGAAAAGCAAATCAGGCTTTATGGTCAATGAAATTAACCATGGAAGATCCTTCTTCTTTCATTTTCTTATAAAGAAAAGTAATTAACTCATTAGGAAAAAAGGAAGACATCAGACATGAGAGGATGTATAAAGATATAGAAAATGTAGAGCAACCCCATCTTTGAGTAAAAAACTACGAAGGAATAGAAGCATCTTTTTTTTTATTTTTGATAATAAAAAAATCATGCGTTGCATTTATATTGAAAGGTTAAAAAACAGTACAGATGATGTTTTGTCCAGACAAGGAGTGCAGAGAGGCCAATTGTATTGGGGAAATATGCTCCCATATCTGTTTTGACTGTAAGTAATAGACTAGGTGTATAAAAAAGAAAAATTGAATGATGAAGCAAGGTGAGGAGAGGGTTGTTTTCTTTTAAATGAAAGGGATAGTAGAGCTGTATTTTTTTCTGGCTCGATAAGGCTCTGTGACAAGGTTGGTGTTTTTCTTACTGATGTTTGAGCCATAAAGCTCATATACTTCATCTTGTGTACCTTATCTCATCTTTTCTTCTTTTCAATAAATTTCTTTTTCTTTTTAATTGTAAAAAAAAAAAGGTAATACTGGCAGATTTCAGCATAAGAATTATAAGAGGTGCTAGGCACACTCCCTTCACTTGCCTTGTATACAATTCCTTTCTCATAGTTAATAAAATTTGATTGACTGATAAAAAAAAATTAATTTAACTTGATTGATACTAATCAGAAAGAACAGCCTCCCTATCATCCATAAAGAGATAGAAGAGTACAACTAAAACAGAAGAAAGTTGATTGCATCCTTTTCTTTACTGTATCAGTATTTACAATTTATGCCCCATTCCCGGTATTCCTCACAACTGCTGGTCCTTTCTACTCCTGACCTTGCTATTGAGTATGCCAAACCATTTGTAGCTCTGGGAACTTGCCTGAATGAGCAATTCACATCAGATGCCACCAAAGTCTTTGCTTCTTGATTAAAAACCTAAGACTCCATGGCACTTCTGATCCTGATTTCAATCCAATTTATGACTACTTTGCAATCTCCTCGAACTTGTAGCTCGATCCAGCTATTTGCTAAAGCAAGTTTTAATCCCTACATGAGATTTAACAATTCGACCAATGGTGATGTACCAGAACTTGATGAACCTGGCAAGCTTAATAAAATGTTTCCTGTGTCATATCCAATATCTCCACCAGTCCTAGACAATCATGGATTACCCAAACAACAGCCCATCAAAGTTTAGTTTCTTTTTTCCTAGCTTTGGCGCCTCCCATTCAACATGTTCTGGTTGCCTTCTTGAAGAGTACCCTGCCACAACTTTCCATTCCTGTGACAAATCATCCAAAATTAAGGAATAATTTCTGTAGAATAAAGACCTTTCACCATACCCTTCTTATCTGAATTCTGAACTATGAGCTTCATTATTTAGATCTGGAAGTATCCATTGAAATACAGCCTTATTAGCCAATCCACAGTAGAGATTAAAGTCTCTTTGCAGTTCTAAAGCTGCTGAACAAGGTCATTACTTCAGATTAATTGCATCAGCATTCTCAATGGGTCAAAAACTACCAAATGGGAGACCTTCTGAGATCCTTGAAGATCATTCCCGGAGAGGCATTTGTTTCCAAGATAATTTTCATCAAAATGAAGTTTGATCTGTCCAGCAACATGTAGAGGCAGAGGATTCTTGCCTGAGGTGTACCAGAATTTGGATGGAGGAGACATTCTCATATGTTACTTACTTGGGTCCCCTGGAAAGATAATATTGGTAGGTTTTGGGAAGGAAATTAACCCAAGTATATATGTCTACCTAATCAAGGATATGCAAGATGGTGAAGTCACTCATATCTAAATATTAAACTGGGAGATGAGAGAGTTTGAATTACAATGGGTCTCATATGAATGAAAATATATCTTTCTCAAAAAAATAAAAAAAATATTGTATGATGACAACATAGTAATGGTTGGCATGACAAGAATGTGGCTAAACGCAAAGGCAGAAGTATAGCAAGATGGTTTTGCATAAAAAAGAGGTTTTAAAATAAGTGGGACTAAGAATATATCTGGAAAATATAGTGATGAAATGAATAGAAGCAAGAGTATAGTTAGGATTATAAAGCAAGTCCTCAAAGTTACCATTTTCACTACCTTGCTTTGATAATCCATAGTGAAGGACAGATTTAAGAGGATATCTCCTATAGAATTCGAGCAGGGTGGATAAAATTTATAGGTGTATATGGGCTGTTGTAATAGAATTATCTTTTGGGGGTTGGAATCCCTATTCTTAGGGACTGGACCTGTGTATCTTGTATAAGATGTTCCAAATTTAATGAAAGTGACTTTTTCATATAAAAAAATAAGACAGGTATAAGACCACATATATTGTTATATGGGAAACCAAGGAACAAAACATACTAGGACCAGCCCATTTATCAAAAAAAAAAAAAAACATACTAGGACCAGCCCTAATATGTGAACAAATGAGGAAAAGTAGATTTTTTTATCAGCAAATGAGAAAAAGTAGATTAAGACAGTGCTTTCACGTGCTTAGAAACCACTAATGTAAATAGTTCTAAGAAAGTTTCATGAAGTTCATAAAAGGACATAAATCAAGGTAATGGAGAAATTATTGAGGACTTACAACTTAGTCCTCAATAGTGGTATAGTGAAATAGGATTTCTGTAGCTGATCTTCCGTACGGTTGAGATAAAGATTTATTGAAATGAACTGGTAAACTGCAGACTACTTTATGAACCTTCATTTTCTAATTCTATGAGTTTGAATCCAATTAGGATCCTGTTAAGAATTGTCAATTCTTTACAAACTACTTTTTCCATGCATGATGCAGTTGGAAAATATGCCATTCTTAAATATAATGAATGTTTCTCATGCCTTCAATAGTTTCCTAACCATAAACTTCTGCTCGTAATCTTTTGTGAAGTGATCATTGTATACCTATATTTCTCCATATAGTGGCTTTGAGGTTAGATCTTTCTTGTAAATTTTTCAGGATCTTTTTTTTGGCCTTACCAAATCTCCCCTTTAGTGCCCAAAAGCAGGAGTTTTAGTGTGGAGTAGGAGAGAATTGGAGTGTCTCTGTGTCTGTGTAACCCTGTGTTTGATGGCACACCTAAACATATATATACTAGTATACTATAGAAGGGAGACTAAAAGTAATTAGTCAAGATATTATAGATATGTGGATATTCATTTTCCCATGTTTTTTAGAAGTTTTTTAATCATCGAGATAAAGAGAAAATAGTGGTACAATGTACACATACAGTGACTGTCTCAGTAAATGTCATGCGAGAGGGAGAGAGAATGACGTAATGGTGGAGAGAGGTGTGGAGGGAGGATGAGGTAAGAGAGAGAAGATATAATCCATTGGTGATGAGATTTTACCACAAAATAGAAAATAGCAAAGTACACATTGTTAATTAATTACTGTTCAACCTGCCTGGTTATCTAAATCAAGTGAAAGCAAAACCTGCCCTCAAAAATCTTCTATTCAGATATCCGTGAACTCATGATGAGGGAAGAAACCATTCAATAACCAGGTAGCAGATATCAACAATCACCTTCCTTGTGCGGTATTTATCTTCAAAGGTACGCCTGCTACTCTCTTTTACGCACTCCAGGAAACAATGAATGGTACCATATCCCATTGAATTTTAGCCTTTTTTTTTCCTCAATATAATTTTTAAAACATTCACTAAATGGCATAAAGAAAAGGGTTCAGTGAGAGGAAGAACTCAAGTTTGTTCTGATGGCAGTAATCCAACGCAACCAGAACTACCGCAAAAACATTGCAGGCCCTTCAGCCTGGTCCTAACATCTCCATAACTAAAAGTAAGTTCTTCACCTTCTTGTATATCTCTAGATGCAAAGAAGCAAATACGAGGCAGCAACGCACCTGAGCTTCTTACTAACACTGTCATCAGGTTGCCACCATCACAAGAATGGTTGATAAAGCGTGCAATATTTCCAACTCTTGTGGCATCTATGTTCACCCTCATGCATGCCTTTCCAGATGGGAGATGTTCACGCACAACTAGGAGAGCAGAAGAAAAGTGGACACTTGATGAAAGTTCGTCATATTTCTGTTGCCGCTTTCTGGCTTCTTCCGTTGTCAAGAGCTCACCAGCATATTCGCAGATAAATTTTCCACACCCAATGAACTGAGCAGCTTCCACGCCCCAGCCCTTCCTCCGATGTTTAACAATCTTCAATCGAACCGAAACCCCTTGCTGTGTCAACCGATTCGCACAATCCAACCCACAAACGCAACTCGATCCACACTCAGTCATCATCTCTGAGACCAGACATGAACCCATTAACTCGGGTTGGATGCTCCAGCAGGGACACTCGAGATCCCCGTCTTTCGTTACTCGAGAACAGTTCTTACAGACACACCCAGAACAATTTTCAACCACCGAAGAGACTAAGCCTATTGTCAGATTTAAATCGGTCATTGGGCACGAATTTGAAATGGGTATCTTAGGGTTTGAACCCCAGGGCTGGTATATAGGAGAGGAATCCGGAAGACCCAGGATTTGAGACGGCGTGTAGATGAAATAGGAATAGGGTTGGGCGTCGACAGTGTTGATGAAAGGAATTGGGTGCTTCTCGAGGCTCCGTGAAGCATCGAAAATTCTCCTGGTGGTGATGGCTTTAGCTATCTGACGGAGGCTTTTGCAGGTGGAAGACATTGAAGCAAGATCTGAGAGTGGGAGCCATGGGAGGACAAGTTCTGCGCATTCGAAGAGTTCCTCTTCCGCTGTGCGACTACAAATCTTCTTTGATTCCTGGAACATCAGCAAAGTTTAGAAGGGAGACGAGCCTGCGTGTGAGTTTGAAGAGCGGGGAAATATTCATCGGAGGAAGCAGTGTTTTCAACCCGCCATTGACCCGGTCGGTTGAACCGTTCGAACCGTCATCGGCATTGATTTTGGTTCCGGTTTTGCTAAAACTCGTTATTTGCTTAAAAGTTGTTGACTTGGTCAAAACCGTGCGACTCGGGAGATTGAATCATTGATCCGTTTGGCCTAATCATCGGGTCATGGGTTGCCCATATTTTGGGCAACTTTTCGATATTTGTGTCCTGCCTTGCCCCATTAATTTTGCAAAAAAAAGAATTCTTTTTTGGTCTTAAATTATAATTTTTAATATTTCTTACAAATAAAAATTAAATATATATATATATACATATGACATGTAGAATATAATTATATATTATTTATTAATAAAATACAGGTGTATATATATATATATATATATATATATATAATTGATGATGTGAAACGGTTTGACCCATTTTAGCCTCTGGATCGATTTTTAAAACATTGAGAGAAAGTAAACTGCATGTGTGAATTGAAAGGAACTAACATTGGAGATTCCTATCATCAAGTTGTACTGTTTTCATTCAAAGTAAATTAATTTAATAAAGCAATTTTTGCTGATAAAAAAAAAAGAAACATTGTTTTTTACTCAGTATGATACCTAAAAGAGGTTTGAAATAATGGAGAATATCCACTTGTAAAATGCAGCATCTTCTTGGCACTGCTTCTTCAGATTACAATCTGCATCATCACCTTTGGCTCTTCCTCCAATGAATATTTCAACAGCAGTTGTTTCACTTTTGCTCAGTCACTCATCTTCCATCCCTGACCTGTTTCATGTGACTGCCAATACTATGTCAAAGATATTGGAAAGTTTTGGGACATGCAAATACCTTTTCTTATATTGTTTCCCTTCGACTCTGTTTGGTTTGAAGGAAATGGTAGAGAAACCTATACAAGGTAGGTTTGTGTAGGTTTCCCTACTTTTTTTTTCAAACCAAACACTGCCTAAATATCAGCATGAACTTACTTTTGTGAAAGATCTTCTAAAATTCCTTTTTGATTTATGACTGAAGTCATACCTACTAGGTTAAAGCATTTAGCCTCTATTTTCACAGCTGAGCATTCCATTGATATGTCTAATGGTCAGGGAGTGGCTGCAACTTCACATTTCAAGTTTGTTAGCTTGCTGGTTTAGGTTATGGTAGTATTTGTGTTCATGTTCTATGCTTAAAAAAGTTCAGTCAGGGGTTGGCGGGGTTCAAATCAGTGGAGGAGGTTAATGGAAAAAGTTTAGCTATATGTTTGCTGTATGGATAAGTTGACCTTATCTAGATCTGCTCCAAACTTAAAACTATCTTTTCTAATCAGTCATGATAAATTTGTTAAACTAGGTAAATTATCTAACTTCTGTGAAGAATGAATAATACAAACAAACAAAATAAACAAAGGAACTTGCCCACTGCAAAATCTATACTATTCTACTGCTAAATAAAGCTACCCAGCTTCTGGACTCCAAGTTTATCACTAAATAAATAAAAAACCTAGAAGATGTTTGTTGTGGGCAACGTTCAAAGTATCAATACAGGGTGATATGTTGGTAGGGGCGTATCAGCCTGTATTGGTATTCTTTTTTTGTTTTTGTTTTTTTTTTATCGAATCTGGTTCAGAGGGGCCGGTTTAAGGCCGGTCTGCCCCCTGAACCACTTGCTGACCCAAAACACCCCCTGTAGGTGCATATTGGAAAGGCTCCGATATGATACGTATCAACCGATACATATTGATACTTTAAACCTTAGTTGTGGGAGGATTCTTGTTATTGGGAGAGAATTGATCTTACTACTGAGTCTTTTATTGTTAGTTTGTTACCTTCATTATGTACGGGTAGAGGTGTCAATGGACCAGTTATGGGTCCAAACTAAGATCAATTTAGATGGACCAATAAGACATATTGAATTGGACCAGTCCAGACTTAATGGTCCAAAGTATTTATTGGATTGGATTGGACCTGGTCCACCCATAATGAATTTATATTGAATTGGGTTGAATTGAGCCAATATCTGATCCATTGATAAAAGAAAAAAAAAATTATATGTGGCAATGGACCAAGTTTGAGTTGGAATCAATCTAAATTAAAACAAATTGAAACAAATTAGACAGCCTAGACATTGAATTGGACTGGTCCAAAATGATTCAAAATTTTCATTGGATTGGACCAAATCCAGTTCAATTGACACCTCTAAATTACGAGTCTTCACTTGTTTTCTTGTACATTTTTATTCTCTTTTGGTAGAACACTAGCTCTTCTTTTGATTTCATACTTTTACATATCTTACTCCTTTTTAATATTTAATGTTGGGATTTTAATATGTCATCCTTGCCTTGGGAACCTCTTGCAACAAAAATTGTACCAATACAATTCCAACATGATATATGTCCTTACATCTCACCATAAGAATGAAACCCACGACCATGCCTGTGATGTGCGGACACATATCATGTTGGAACTTGTTGGATTTTTTTTTTTTTTTTTTGTGAACAGATCATATCCAAAATATTGGCAAATTTGTATTTCTTTTTATTTTTTTGGTAAAGCAAATTTATGTTTCTGATATGTATAGTAATAAAAAGATTAATTTGGAGATGTGTCCCAATGAATCAATAAACAAATTAAACTTCTTAAATCACATGTCGAGTATAAGAATCATTAAAGGTCGAGCTCAATGACCGATCCTTAAAAAATCGAGACCAAATCAGCCCTACAGAAGGTTTCATAGCACATCCTCGTCGTGTATTGGGAATATCTCCCTATGATGACATCATCATTCTTGATATTATCATCGATAGATATTTCCAATACACAGCAGGAATGTACTGTGGAACGTTGTGAAGAACAGTCTTGTGGGGGCTGATTTGAACTCAAAAAATCAACATGGGCTTCATGTTGATGCCACTGGGACTTTCTAAAACAGAAATTGATGCATTTCTATGTTGTTGATTGAGATTAACCACTCTTTGTTTTTGTTCTCTATATCAGAATTGTCTCACCACCATTTTCCCCACCCACAATTTTGTCTTGCTTGTTAAATCATATATATGATCCATTATTATAATTGATGGAGGAAAAGAACCAGGCCAGATGTATTTTTGCCTCATGATCACTTTCTGAAGGTTTACTCCCACATTAATTAGGATTTTTGTTTTTTAGCTTTTCCACTTAGTTTCCTCAAACAGCAGCCGAGATGAAAGCTGCTGTTATAAGCATGATGAAGGGATGATGTTAGCATTCAATGGGCAGGTCATTTTCATTTGATCAATCTGGACCCAACCCAACCCAACCCAATATCCATTTCTCCATTTCTAATCCTCCACTATCATAGGAGATAAGACTGTTCCCCCAGAACTTCCAGTTTAAGAAGAATCGAGTGTTGTTCACACATTCTAATACAAGTGGGGTTAGGTCTTCTGTCTCACTCAAGCCCCAAGATCGATCGATCTATCAATCTATCTATCAACTTCACTTCCCCATATCCAACATGCATCGATCGATCAGTTCTTAGCTTTCAGCTTGCAATTGCCTTCCAGTGGAAAAGGCTTGGCCAGCTATGCCATAGTAGCAGTGTAGCCACTATACTCTGTCTCTGTGTGTTTGTGTGTGTGAGTGATCTAGGATTGGACCTGACATATATATATTCTTATTTGGTTTGTCTCTTTGATGTATGTTGAGAAATGCTAACAATCCAGTGCCAAAATTGGAGCTGGCAATTTCTTCTGATGTTGAGCACACACTAGCAATTTAATGCCAAACTGACGCAACAACACATCATTCTAGTAGCCTTCTGCAATTGGGAATAGCAGTAAAACTTGTTATCTGCTAATTTCATATATCCTGGGTCATTCTTGAAGGAGATAATCAAACTAGAAAGTTTAATTTATCTCTAGGAACTAGTCCCTGTTAACCACTCAATGAATGAACTTGGTGTATTTTTATTTTTTGGCTATCAACAAGGTTTAGGTTTATCATGGTTTTCAATCCGCCATTGACCCGGGCAGTCGGACCGTTTGGCTTGGGAATCATCCAGGTAATCGGTTCTATTTTACTCCAAACCTGGTCTCTGGTCAAAAACTGTTGAATCAGTCAACGATCTGTTAATTTGGACGGTCAAACTATCGATTTATTCAATGATTTTTGGCCTTTTATTTTTAATTTTTTTATTTTTTTTCGTCAAAATGAACTATGCGATCGAACTGTCAACCAGAAACCAATGATCAGAATGATTTCATTTCTAAGTCATTTTTTAAAACCATGAGGTTCATAGTATGGCATGGGTGGAATGGTTTCAAGGAGTTTGGATCCGCTGCCAATAAGGCGCTACGGCTACATGTCTTTTGAAATTTGAATAATCCTATCAATGATAGCATGCAAGTACGGAACATACTCGGGATGTGTGGCCATAGCATCTTGTGGATAGTAGATCTTGTCACGTTCTGAACTGTATGTATAGCATCAAATCCGCGTAACTGCAGGCTTTCCATGGTGAGGCTAGTGGACGTGGATCTCACGTACACCCTACTCTGTTCCCATCAGAATGGAACCATGAAACAAAATTTATGTAGCCAGACCCTATATTAGTTGGAACAAGGTTTAGATGGTGATGATGATGTATGTATTGACTGGTACATGCTTACACTCATTTCATATCAACTAAAGAATAAAGTGAAAGCTGAAATATACAAAGTTATATATCACTAGCTAAAATTACTTTCATCTTTTTAATATTATCCATCTTAGTACTAAAATAAAGTATTATTAAGATTTATGTTGGTTTCTTTAAGTGTATACATGTATGTCAAGTATATTTACATTCCACGAACTATTAAAATATATGTTTCTTATGTATTTATATCTTATTTGTAGTCACCCAAAGTTTTGAATATATATTTTGTGCTATTGATGCATTTATAGGGATTTAATAAGCATTTTCCTAGTCTATATACATATGTATCCTAATCAGCATATTAAAAACGACCCGGAAATGGAACCGTTCTGGCCATTGGTTTCTGGGTCTACGGTCCGAACGTCCGGTTCGAACAGACAACCCGTTCTAACAAATAAATTGAAAATAATTAAAATAATAATTACAATTGAAAAAAAAATGGTCAAAAACCGTTGAACGAGTTGACGGATCGATGATTCGATTGCACAGATCAACGGGTTATTGACTTTTTTTAACGGTTTTTAACCAAAAACCGAGTTTTGGATAAAATGAAACCGA